GAGCACCAATCATCACAAAGGCCAAACTCAGGCAGGACAATAGGCCAGGGAACATCCGGGAATGGGAAGCTTAAAGACAGCGGACCGCGCAGGCCATGGGCTGAGGGACGTCCAGACTCCCACAAATATATATATTTGAGAGGGGAATAGAGCTATGTACTCATATCTATATGTTCAGAATTAAGGTTGCAGATGAACATTGGGCCTCAACTCAAGTACTCCCTTAACACAAGAACACTTTGTTCTAACGATCCGGCATTCTGTGATCCTCACTCTCGATCGCTGAAGACAAACCATTTCCTAACGGGCCTTCCTCAGCTTCCCTGCCCCTCTATTTTACCAAACCTAATGTGTTTCTTCAGGGACTGCTTTCCCGGACAAAATACTCAAAATATGTAAGACAACAGCTTGCCATACTTGCCTTCATGGAGCGAGCACTCTGGACATACTTCTCCAAGTCAGATTGATTTGTTCGTTTAGCAATCAAATATCTGCAGAGACTGTTTTCAGTGCTAAAAATAATGCAAGTGCGTTAAGAAGTCCATGCAGATGGTTTTTTAATTCTAGATCCCCATCAACGTTTTAAAACCCTACCAGGTCTTTAAGGAACTCGTGATCAGAAGAAACAGGTGTATGTTCTCAGTGCCCCCACCCTAAATTTAGTTGGGGTCAGAGAGGGACTTGAGCACCTGGGATGGTGAGACTCCTTTGAGGTGACAATTTGGAGCCAGGTTAGGCTAATTGTGCTATGAGTCAAAGGCTAACGGAGAAAGTCCAAAGTAAATTCTTTAAGAGATTCAAGAGGTCCCAAGCTGGCTGCAGACAAAAGTAGGATGGTGGGAAGGTGTCTGAATGTATGATTTTCATCTAAGCTACCTAAGCCTCGGGCTCAGAGCATGCTCTGATAAAGCAGCACTCTCTCCCAATGTCATCTTTTTCTGTGATTGCTTCCTCTTCGTTTCCCTTTGAGACTTTTATTGGCATATAATTTTCCTATCCTACAATTTAATCATATTAAGAGTTATGCAATCATTACCATAATTGATTTTAAAACGTTTTCTTCCTTGTAGTGGATGTTGGCTCCCCATTTCTCCCCAACCTTCTCTGCCATACCCCCAAGGAACCGCTAACCCAGTTACAGGCTTTAGATTTACTTATCCATCCCACATTTTTGTGTACAGAAAACCATATAAACACATGCACACAAAACAGAAAAACCTCAATTGAAAAAAAAGTATTATAAATGGAAACAACTTTAAAATGGGTCAAAATACTAAGGGGCTACGTTTTAACCTAACTACATCTGCCATATGA